GAGAAGTAACATAGTTCAACAGATAGACAGTGGTGATATAAGGATGGATAGTCCAATTATATCTGGTCTGACTTGACACCTATCACTATGTTGTAAGATTATGTAAGAGTACCCTTATTCGTCACAAGTACTAATAGCATCATCATCATCATCATCATCATCATCATCATCATCATCATCATCATCATCATCATCATCATCCTCATCATCATCATCCTCATCATCATCATCGTCATCATCATCGTCATCATCATCGTCATCATCATCATCATCATCAGCATCATCATCAGCATCATCAGCATCAGCATCATCATCATCAAGAGCTCTCTATCTTCTTCTGCTCTGGGCTCTAGTCTCTACCTCTGTCCAGGTATATCCCAACTCCTTTAGGTTCGAATCTAAGGCCCTCTTCCAAGTACAGGTTACAGTTTATTTTTTCTTTAAATACTAATACCATCATCATCCAGTGCCAGATCTGCGACAGACATTGGCGATCATGGTTCTCCATTCGTTCCTTTACTAGGATGCTCTTTTAAAAAAGCTACGTTTCCCTCATCTTTTGCCAGTGAGAGCTAGATGTTCAAGACTTTCGTGTCTAATTATGTGTCCGAAAAACTGCATTTGTCGATTCCTAATTGCTTTTAACAGTGAGCGTCCCACGTGGGTTTCGTCAAGCTCTATCTCATTTGATTTCTTTTCCTTCCACGATATTCTCAGCAGTCTCGTGAGAAACCACATTTCTGTTCCTTTTATTTTATTTTCACTGTCTTTAGTGATTGTCCCCCATTCACAACCATATACATGTAGATTGGTTGCTAACATACAGGTTCTTTTTTCCACCCCGCCTCCACCCCTTCCCCCCTTATAGGTACACAGTGGTGAGAGACCGTACAAGTGTGTGTATTGTAACAAAGCCTTCACCGCCTCCAGTATTCTTCGCACTCACATTCGGCAGCATTCTGGGGAGAAACCTTTCAAGGTGAGTTCTTGAACAGCTGTTTGTTGTTTTTTGAAAGATTTTTTTTTATTGAAAAAAACCCACCAATTTAAATGTAAGTTTTTTTGTACACCCTTATCGATACCATTTATATCATATGAGAGGCCGTCTTCGGCTCTGCCGCCAAAGCCGACCCTGGCTAAAAGAGCCAACGTTTCAACAGAAAGGCCGCAATATTTACATTGTACTTTTAAAAATTCTCCACACATGAGAATCGAACACGGGTCTCCTGCGTGTAACTACGAATCACCAAAGACGTCAAAATGGTACAACCTGAGTAATGATATCAGCCATTTAACATGACTTAATACAATGCTATTAAAACAGAGACATTGAGGAAGAGATGACCAGCCAGGAGCTTTTATCTTGCTATGAGCAGGTCAAGGACATTATTTCCTCGACTTAGCTGTTGGAAGTGATCGCATGTTCGTTTTTTTTTTTTGGTGTGATAATGTCAGTTCTTCTGTGTGTGTTTGTTGATGTGTGTGCTTTGTATTTAATTTACCACGCCCCGTCAAATCTTTCTTTGTTGAGGTCAGTAAAGTTTCCCTGTTCTGTAAAAGCAATACCCCTCCCCCCCCCCTAATCCAAGACAAAATCATTAACTCTACAAACTCTCCCCCCTCCCATCAACACACTCCACTATTAACCCTTTCTCCCCTACACGTGGGTGGTTGGCGTGGTGCTCTGATGAGGTTTGCTCCGTCTTTCCTATCAAAAACATGTATCGTCCTGATCTCTCCTCCTTTTTGTGTTTTATTACTCTCTTGTAACACCTCTAATCTTCGACATTTACATGACCTTATTGTGTTACTAACAAGTGCCGTTAAACTCTAACTGAAACTACTACAACTAAACTTATTCTATTCCACCCCCCCCCCCCCCCCCCAAATCAGTGCAAACACTGCGGCAAAGCCTTCGCCTCCCACGCCGCCCACGACAGTCACGTGCGCAGAACTCACGCCAAGGACCGGCCCTGCATCTGCACCATCTGCGGCAAAACCTTCCAGCAGGCTTATGAGCTCAAGTTCCACATGAGCTCTCACGTCTGACAGACTATATATAGCATCATGAGCTATCCCACGTGACAGACCAGAGCAACATGAGATCCCATGTGACAGACTATAGCAACAGCATGAGATCCCGCGTGATAGACCAGAGCAACTTGAGATCCACACATGATAGACCACGACGACAACGTGAACCCCCACGTCTGAAAGACCATAACAACAAAATGAGCTCTCAAATGACAGACCACAACAACGTGAGCTCTCAAGTCTGACAGACTAGCTCAAGAGCTCTCACGTGACATACAAATGTACTGCAACAACATGAGCCCCCACGTCTGACAGACCACACCAAGAACAGCATGAGCTCCCACGTGACAGACTACAACAACATGAGTTCTTACATCTGACAGGCTTGCTTCGAAAAAAAAACTATTATCTTTTTGTAAGTGTTTTACGGCGCTCCAAACTGAATAAGGTTATATGAATACGCGGGACACACTAAACATTTTGAGTTGGTAGGAAATTTTGAATGTTACCCGAGTGGCGGTCGAAGTCTACTCTTATCGATTTTGGACCACCAAGGGATCTTTAACGTACACAACTTGCACACGGTACCTTTGAGATTTTCGCCCTTGTCCGAGAAGGATAGGTGTAGAAGAAGTGAAGAACGCAGAGGAGGGGTTATAGGAGGTGAGGGGTGACAATAACATGAGCACTTTGAAGACGCAGACTCCGGTCATTCGACAAGGCTTGATGAAGACGCGCTGTTTTGGTGCTCTTTGAAAAAAAGTAGGACTTCGTGACTGATACGGATTTTTCAAAACAGAAATTACGTGCATACTATGAAATTAATATGCAACAATTGCAAGTTTGCGTTTCTGGTTAATTGTGTATGATGGTTGGAAATGTGCCCTTTGTCTTTAGTTTGCTGTTGATCGGGCATATGTGTCTGACAAGAGCGACGACAAACGTTGAGGGGGGGGGGTAATGAGATATAAACACGCTCCTTATGGTATAACTTTATGTAGTTACGAGCGTTGTAACACCCTGAGTAAACTAAAATAAAGAATGAAAGAACTGTGTACTCGAAGCTCGGGCTCGAAGAATGACCAGCGTCTGCGGTGTAGAATTGTTTGGCTCTTTGGTGTTGCACCTTCTCGGCAAAAGAAGTAAGTTCGATTCCCAAGTGAGGAAGCTATTTCAGTTTCTCCGTCAGTCTGTTGGGATGTTGTATCATTCACGACATCCAGGATTTGCCCTGACAGGCAGGGCAGAAGCAGATCAGCTATGATCTAAATAAATGGTCAGATAAAATAACGCATCATGCCGTGACTCGGGACACATTTGAACTTGTCAAGGGCGACCACCCATTGTCAATAAGAAAAGCGGTTGTCTTAGACCGGTGGGTGGTGTCGTTACAATTTTATTTTAAATGCAAGCGGGATATGGTCGTTTGTACATGTGATTGTCTTGGACAGGTGATTGTTATAACAGCTTTGACTATAGAAGCCAGCCTGGGGTGTGCAGGTAGCTCAGCTGATGTCATACTTGGCTATTGTGTGGATGGCTCATGGTTCAAAACCACAAGACATTCTCGAACTTTGTCAGTTTGGGGAATTTTCAAGGCTCACCTCATACTGCTTGTCTTGGTTCTGTCGGGGATGGACGTCTGATTCGGAGGTCTTTCAAACTCATAATTTTGAGGAATAACAGATCAGTAAGCCTTTATAACGCAACAAATTAGTTTTTGATTTTAGAATTACTCCGCAATAGTTTCGAAAAACTATTGTGTCTATTGTTAGTGAATCGATATTGATTCTGAATTAACTTACCAAAAACAGCAAAGCCTAAGACTAGACCAAGCCTTGAGGATATTAAATAGTACCTTAAGATCAGAGGCTTTCACACATACGTATACTCACAGACACACACAAAAGCACACACATACACACACACATACACATGCTCACCACACACTTATTAGATTGTAAAAGAGAAAAATAGATGTTTGATGAAGACAGAATGATTGGGAAAGAGAAAGAACGAGAGGATCTTGCAGTTTACACTGAGAGAAGAACTTCTTAACTTTGCGTATGAAAAAAGTATTCAAACTGTGATATTTCATGAGTGACTACATTTTTATATCGTTGTTGTGACTGTTGTTGTTGTTGTTGTTGTTGTTGTTGTTGTTGTTGTTGTTGTTGTTTGCGTCATTGTTGGTTTATTTTCCTCATTACGTCACTTTTGTTCTTCACTGTACATATATACATAAATGAAACATTATTGTAGTTTTTTTTTTCGTTGCAGTTGTTATTAACTTTATTCAATAAATATTCTGTGAAATGAAGGACGCTGGTTTTGGCTGTTGGTTTTGTGTCTCAGTTGAATCCATCTCGTTTATTGAGTTACTGTCAGAATACTGAGTATGTACCTAGCTTAAGATTATTATTGTTTATATTACTGCTTATTTATATACTATGCATGTGATTGTAAGCCTGAATGTGTTTGCATC